TGCTGTATAAAAAGCAACCCTCGCAGCATGGCTGACCACTCAATTCACATTGAGTTATATTGTCTGTCTGTCTGTCTGCCTGCCTGTCTGTCTGTCTGTGTGACTGCTTGTCTATTGGAGTGGAGTGGGGTTTTGGCACTGGGCACGGTCTTCGTCCTGCTCTTGGCACTTTACACTCTCCACTCCGCTCCTGGCTTTCAACTTTTTATGCTGCTGATGTGATTTTGCACTCAATTGAAAACAACTTGATTAAATTTTCATGTTGCACTGAATGTGTGAAGCACACGACTCCATCTCGTTTCCACGGAACAATTTTGATGTACTCCTAATGCACTTCATTGTAATTTATTTTATTATCAAATATAAATCATCGGTTTGCTCAATAGAATAACTAGTTTGTCGCAAGTCAATCTGTATAGTGTTATGGATCATAATGATTATAATTCATACGTATATGAATATTAATGTCTATTGGTCAAGTATTTTCTATTGATTATTAAGTCAGATAAGTTGGTTAGATCAACTGATTAATATCTATAAGAGTGAATGTTAAAATTGCCGATAAGGCTATGGAGTTTGATTATTTATTATTTACACTATTGCCACTCAAATTACTTTAAATTACAGAAAATTCTACTTAGGGATACAAATTGATTTCAGTTATTTTAAATTAAATCTGGCGAAGTTCGAATGGAGAAGTTGAACTGTCTTAACAACACATGAGTTAAATGTAATTGTAATTGTAACAGTTTGCTGATTACAAAACGCTTGAAGAAACTATAAATTACATTAAAGACTATAAAGTCATCTCTATACTCTTTCGATCGGTTGTAGTCTATATGAACCATCCAAGTATTTTTATTGATCGTGATAAGTGCAGATTGAATTGTATAATTATTTTGCAATGCCAACTATAACTGACTGATATTTATATTGCAAATACTAATTTAAATTTCCGACATTTTTATTAGACATAGAATTGAATGAATATTCAACTCACTCTAACGTATTTTATTTAAAATTCCAACTAATTAAAATTAATTATAAATATATAAGGATTGATTAGCATTTGAAAGCTTCGTTATTTAGTGTTGCACTTAGTGCTTAAACTGCCTGTTAACTAAGCATTATTACAAGAGTATTTAGCATTTTATTCTTGATGCGGATAATTCATATTCTCTTGGGTGCTATTTTGTTGCTAGTTTTGACTGGCAGACTGGACATGTGTGCGGGGGGAACCCTTTCCAAATCATTTAGCCACTCCATTCATTGCCAACAGCAACAGTAAGAACAACAACACCAAAACACCCGACAAACAACATGTCATCATGAACAGCAATTAGCATATTCTTTGCCCACAACAAACTTAAATGCCATATGGGAAACTAAACAAAAAACTAAAACAAATAAAAGCACAATAAGCACAATAACAACAAAAAAGCAAAAAAACACAACAACAAACTGAAAGCATAAAAATGCCTAATGACAAGCCAAATGATTAATTCAACGAACGGGGCACTGTTTGGTCATTAGAAGTGCTGTTAGTTATCGCCGTCGCACCGGATTCCAGGTTATGGTGGTAGATCCGCACAAAAAAAAATAAAATAAAATAACTGATACAAAAAATTGTCCCGTTTGGGCATAATGGCTGCCCTTGCCATCGGGGGATGCATGGCTTCGCACTCCATTTACTCCATTTTTAAACTCATTTTGTGTTGCCGAACTCTTGTGCACTAATTTTAATAGAATACAGGTATTTACTGCGCCATATGTACATATGTGCAGACAAAGGCAACTAATGACAGTATGTCCTCTCCTTGACAAACGTAGTTTTTACAATAAAGATACCCTGTATTTTTATTGAATCTGTAGACTTGCTTATAGATAATCGATCTTGTCCTTACAGAACAAAAACATTCTAATAAAAAGTTAACTTCTTTATAACATTTCTTTAGATTCTCTTCTGCATCGCAATTATTCATATTCAATCATGATTGGTTATGATTTTGGCTACCATAAAATATAGCCAAAATCAATAATGAACTAATGTCGCTAGAAATGATTATTGAAATAAAAGCAAAGAGCCTAAAGTATAATTATACACTTTTCAACAGCAAACAGTAAAATTAATTTAGATTTGGACTTGCTGTCGAACATAATTGAAAGGCATATATCGAAAGTAATTTTGTTTTTTTCTTTGAGATACAAACCAAAAGTGTTTGGTTACTGAAAAATAGTCAACGGTATCTCTTAGTCGACTGCATACTCAGTTTGCTGGTTTTTAGCTACGTTGTTAAAAATGGTTTCCTTTATGACATTGTTTTTTATGACTGTCATGTGGCAGGTTGACAGGCCAACCAGCGACGACCATAATTAGAGGCTAGACGTGCCACCGTTAGCAAAACGAACTACAACTGGAACAGTAACTGCAACAATAACAACTACACACACACAACAAAGGCGACTCATATTTAATTTAAATGTCTCCATGATGGCCGCTAATTATTTGCTGTCACTGTGTGCCTTCTACTGTGACTGCGACCGTTATTGTGACTCTTGCTGCAGACTGTCAAAAGTTAGTTTATTTTGATATTTTGTTGTTTTTTTTTTTTGTGTATTGTCAGCTATTCCCCAAGCTTTCCATTCTTTCGCTGTTGTTATTAGTGCTGTTAATATGAAAATTGCAGCTAGAAATTTGTTGTTGTCTGAAAAACTAATTTGAAAATGGCTCTGCTTTGTGCCCAGACTGGTAAATTTTGAGTGAGTGTGCCCGGTATACGGCGCCCAGTTACTTGGTCGGACTTAAATCCCTTTCAATCTATCCATAATCCAAATTGACATGGCTGGCATGACCAAGAGGCTTCACATGAAATTCTCCTCCGGCCACACAGTTCCTGCTGTCTTGTTGACCAACCGCAGGGCTGTTCATTTGTATTTTTCATATCCATTCTGCCATCATACACACACGCACACATTCGTTGCAAGGTGGAGTCCGGCCGAAGCCACCCTCTCTGGTCACTTTCAATTTGCCTTTCTTTTTGCTGATTTTTGGGCTACGAAACTTTTATGCTCGAAGCAGACCTGTGGCGCCTGTCATTCCAATAAGTGGACACAAATAGATTGTGTTCTGGCTGCGGCTTCAGTTCCGGCTACGGCTACGGCTACGGCTTCCAAGTGCCTGTCCGCAAGTTTGCTCAATAATCAATCAAACCTGGTAGCGCTACAAGACTTGGCAGCCAATTAGAGCCACATCCCCATCAGCACTCGCCAGTCGGCATTTGTTGCATGCAATGATGGCACAAACAAAGTAAGCTAACGAATAAATGGAGGAGCATCCTCATTACACAGAAAAATATGGTAAGGTATAAAACAAAAATTGTCCAATTAAACGCAATTTATGCGAATTTCCAGGTAGTCCATACACTAAAAAAAAAAAAATAAAAAATAAGAACAACGATGTTTGAAATTGAAGCACAACTGGTATTGAATTAGATAATTTTCTATGAATACCTATCAAGATTTCTTGACAAAGTCGATCAAAAGTTCTTAAATCAAGTATAAAACTTTTTTCGCAAGTATTTTTAATTTTAAACTTATTTTATTTTCCATTTATTTAGTTTAATATTCAATCTTATAATTAGCTATTTTCTAAAACAGTCTAACATATAAATTAATAATGTAAATTTGTAAAGCTAGCTTAAAGTTTTAGACTCTAAGTTAGCTTTCAAAAAGTACATTCTTGAAATAATAATTGGGTGGTCTTCGATTTTCGTTCTTGATCCAATATAAGCAACTTGTGTTTGCTTTTTCTTTGAGTGTGTACAAAGGAGTTGCTGGAGCAACAGCGGCAAATGTTCAAATTAAAAAGGTGTCTCTGCTGAAGTTTCAATAAAAGAGCATTTGATCGCTGACCGATAAACAGACGGACGGACAGACGGACAGACCGAACGAACCTCGAAGGTCTGCAACTTTGTGGGCGCCGTCTTGCAACTTGTTGCCTAAAATGGTTTACTTCCGCACAGGCGACCACCAGCAGCCAACGGCAACTTGTAGGAGTTCAAGTCTCAGAGTCGGCAGCCGACGCTAATGTGACAGCGGCCAACACTTTAAGGGCCTGTCTCCCTCTCCCTAAACATATAGGGGATTGGCCTACCTGCTGTCGGAGCCAGGCGGCGTCTGTTTGTTTTGCCTTTTAGCGCAAAAAAACACGTAATATATTTATAATGAAAGGCCGCTGGATATTATATTCAAGTTCGGGGTCCTCGAATGACTAATTGTTGTTGGTTTTTGTTTGGATTGAGCATATGGCTGATTGCTTTTATTTATTCTTCTTTTCAATAGAAGACGCATTATCACATCAAATATTATATCCGGCCAATTTTGATCGATAAATCATATTTAAACTCCCTTAATTTCCAATAAAACAAAAAATGCATATTTGTTTTCTTTGATTTTGTAATGTATTTATTTTCATTTCATTTTGTTTTATGTTAGTTATATGTTTAATATTTATTATTTAATTGTATAATACTAGGTAATGCCATTCGACTTACGACTAACGTACAATACAAGCCATATATTTAAAATTTTGTTTATTTATTATTTATGTTTTAAAGTTGACATTTTGAGATGCATTTTTGTTGTTGTTGTTTTTTTTTGCGTTGTTTGCCTTCAAGTGTTGAACAATAAACAAATTGGAAACACTGCGCTACAAACTAAGAGAAACTACTTAAACTTAAATCGATTACTTAGCAATCTAAGTGAATATAGTTATAATAATGTATGTCTAAAAAGTAAAGCTAAATATTTACAACTTGCAATAACATGTTGATTAATTCACAGTGAACTTTCTCACTGTACACATGATTTTGTTTTGCAATTTACTCGTATCTCGTATCTATATACAAAGCAAACTTTATCACAAATAAACCTCATACTCATACATATATGTACTCCTGCCATATATATATATGTATATATATATATATATATGCAGACGATTAGCAGCCAGCGGCATGCGACGCCTCCGCCCAAGGCTGCAGACCGTGCAGCGCCGCAAGAGGAGCTCCATTGACGCTGGTCTGAGAGCCCAGTGGCGCTGCCGGCGGCGCGAATCCTTTGCTAATGGCCTCCGCCTGTAGGGATAACATCAGGCGATTGGCCGCCTGTCTCTCCGCTTCGCGTTCCTCCGCCGTTTGACGTCTGCAAGTGTGAGAGAGAGAATGAGATATTGAGTTATGATTCCAATAAAAGCAAGTAAGTTTTAGTTTTAAAAGAATATTCCTGACTGGAAGATATCCCCGTCATAATGTATATTTATAGTAAACTTTATCCCAACAACGAACACTTATCTTAGGGATGCCATAGATAGCAGACCAGAGTTCACCTCCTCATCATAACTGCCCATACTTCATCCTAAAATTATTAATAGTTAATCTTAAAGCAAGAATGCATTTCTATCTCCTGTTCCGCAAAACCCCGTACTGAAAGATACTCTCATATATGTTAATGGTTAACTTTTGAGAAGGAAAGATATAGTGCACATACTCGCAACTACATTTTATTATTAAGTTAAAAAAAAGAAACTTTATTTTCACTAAGAGAGTGCTATGATATTGTACCTTGATCACCAAAATTAAGGGAATTTCCAAAGATTCCTCTATAAAGCATAAAGCATACAATTCAATTAAAATAGGATATGCTGATGAGGCTTATCAATTCAATAGCATCGGTTAATGTGCATATTCATTATCGAAAAGCAATTTGCTTGAGCGATGGCTGACAGCGGATACGAATGGGGCGGAGACGTGGAGTCGAGGTCTGGCTCATCAAGTCATTATGTGGGTGGCTTATTAAGACCATTTAAAACTAATCAAATCAAGTATGCTGATTGCCACAATTCCTGGACGCAATTATGGCCACGCTGGAATGGGATTGTTTCGCTTTTGCTTATTGAAAATTAATTTCGAATTGCCTTGCGTAAAATTACATTTTAAATGTTGCGCTTAAATGGGATTTAAGCCGACCAACAACGGCAACTGGCAATTTCCGTGTGTGTGTGTGTGTGTGCGTATGAGTACCATTAATTATTCAACTGCAATTGCAACACGTCCTTTTGCCATTGTTGCTGCTGCTGTTGCAATCCTGCTGCAGTTATTACCTTCCATCTGCAAGCCTCGTTCTAGTTGTTGCCCTCCATTTTCCTCATGCCCCTCTATTTTGCGTTTGCGCAGCATTTATGCTCTAATTGTGGCCACCCCCATATAAACTCACACACTTACACCCACACACACACACACACACACACATGCATGAATGGAGGGGTTGTTTTTACCATCGCGCGCCATATTGAATATTTCATGATCTAATGAAGTCCTTTCGGTTGCCAGCTAAATACGATGACGTCTACTCACAAAACTCAAACTCGAGCCCAAACTTTTGTCCCTTAATTACTATCCTAAATGCTCTGCTCGTTAGTGTGCGACTGTGTGTGTTTGTGTGTGTGTGCGACCCTCATATGCCATGATTGTATTATAGTTTAATATGCTATCATTACGGCTTTCATCAGCAATGTCATCATTCAAACTACAAGTTCATAACTTTAATGCGAACTTATTAAAAATTCATTTACAACGTTTCAGTCGCACTGTGTTACAATTTTGGGCAGGAAAATATCAAATTATTACCGGTATGGCCCATTAAATTGTAAAGAACTTGAACAAATGGAACAGCTTTTATTTTATTTATATTTTATTTATTTAGTTCTCTAACAATATTTTTGATATTTGAAAAATATCTTTTTATACAAAGCTAGAGATGTATTCACTGTACGCAGCTGTTTCTCTAATTAAATTATTGACCATAGCAGGCAGCAAAAAGAGTGTTGTGCGCGTTGTTTGTGTGATATCTGTACAACAACTCAATTGTCTGGCTCTGGTTCAAGTGAATTATTATATGGGGAGTATTTTTCACTTTTACTTTCTGGCATTTTTGGATGGTTTATCTGCGAGTTGTTTTACAGCTACCGCATAAAAAATTCAACGAAAATTGATTAAAAACTCCAGAAACACGTAAACAAATGTACGAGTGTGTGATTGAGTGTGTGTGTGAGTGTGTGTGTGAGTGTGTGTGTGAGTGTGTATGCGCGGCCTTAATTTAAGCCGTGCTCTCTTGTGCGGGCAGAGAGAGTGAGAGAGTGAGAGAGAGAGAGAGAGAGAAACATGAGGCACGATTGTAATTTATCTTCAGCCACGAGAGCTTTGGATGTGGAAATGAAAATGCAAGAAACACTTTACAAATGTTAACTGTTTGTCTTTTGGCGCCAGGGCGATGAAAATGTTTTTGCCTGTTATTGTTGTTGTTTGTGTCGCTGTTGCTGTTATCCACGATAAATAATGGCCAGACATTAGGCTAAAATGTTTATTAAAGCTTGACGCATAAATCGGTTGACTGCACACTGCTGGAGTGGGAGTTGGAGAGGCGCTGCCAGGGGCAGTGGGAATGGAAATGGAGAAATGGAGGTTAGATAAATGTTACCACAAATTTAATGGCAAGTCAATTGTCGCACTGTTAGCAGCTGCTCACAGGTTTCACTGGGTCCCGTAATTAAAATCATTTCACACACAAACAGCCCACAAAACGACGTCAGCAAATTACAACGACAAAATAGCCATGGCCAAAATGCTTTTGGGGTTTCCCAACACAGAGGCCCTTCGACAAACAACAACAAAAAAAAAGGGCCTCTGGTACTTATCTTGCGAGACATAACAATTTAGCTAGACCATTAATTGGCTGGCATTTGTTTATTCCTGTGGGACTTGCCACTAAGATGAAGATTTCGTCCTCGCTCCCGGGGCTGGACACGTGCCGGCCAAAAATAGCTTCAAAGTTAATTTACAAATGGCCAACACAGCTGTAATTAATTTCATTTGATTCTCTTCTTTTGGCAAAAACTTTGCTCTCTGCCAAATTGATTTTCGGCTTGTGGTTCAAGTTTTCCAAGAACTTCACACACACACACACACACACAGAGAAACACGCACACATGCACAGTTCATTTGTCATTTGCTTGCGAGTGTGTGCGTGTATAAATTTTTAATTAGACAGCTTTCAGCAGCAGCATGAAAACTTTTCCATATGCGAAGCAATTAATTTCGTGTGAGTTTTCGTACTCTAATTTAAGATTTGCCCAACCAACTGAATCTTTTGAGTTGATGCATGGCCGTATAATTAAAAAGGGTTTAAAGGCTACTTGATTTATGTGCCGGTTGTTAATTAAATTATGTGCATATATACCTATGTTGCAATCAGCAGCAGCACAACAAGTTTGAATTACCAAGTTAAGACTACTTTGTCGATGTCCTTTACTTAGATTTGTGCAGGAAAATGTTGAGAAATTAAGAACAAGAAATGAATATCGGTAGGTAGAACAAGTAAGAATTATTTAATTAAGGTTACTTTAATTGTATATATGCTGAACTTAGAGCAAGCAATTAATAACAAGAAATTAATTAAATATGGCTTTATCATGTACTACAAAGATTTTGAAAAAAACAACATACTTCTACGGCCAAAAAGTGTTTGTCTCATTTTTCATACGATTTCTTAAGACCAGGACTATCATTTCTAAATTACGAGACAGTAATTGTTATTCATTTCCGAATTTAGAAAGAAATATTTCGTGAATTCATTAATTTTCCAAATTTCTAGAGAAATAGTAACTTAATGGCATATTTCCTGACGCAAGGATTCTTATCTCTTTTTCCACATATATGCGTATATAAAAGGCGAATCCTGCGAAAGGGACTTGCCAGGCCAGACATCCATTAGACAGCGCCATTTGTTTAGGTGCCCCATTGCCAAAAAGTGTGCAATGAGACTCCATTTTTTTTGCTTTTTCGTTTCATTCGCTCCTCTCAATGCTTTCTTTGTGCTCTCTTTCACTCAGTCTGTGTATCTATATTTTGGTGTGTGTGTGTGTGTGTCTGACTCTGGCTTGTGTCTTTAGTAACTTTGTTTCTTGTTGCCTCTAAGTCTATTTTTTTTCATTTATTTGTCGCTAAACACATTGTCAAATTGACAGGCAACAAGCGTCATTCAATCGCTCAGTCTTCAAGCCAACTGACTCGCACATTGCTGTTGCTATTGTTGTTGCTGTTGTTAATTATTAATTATTTATTGATGTTGTTGTCGTTGCTTTTACTGTAAGCAATCAAAGCATTGAAAAGCTTTGCATTGCTGTTGTTGTCATGGCCGTACAAACTGGTTACATTTTATTAAAAATAAGTAAAAAAGTACATTTAGTAATCTCTGGGCCAAGCAATTGACACATAACTGAACACAACTACATAACTCATACGCCATGTTGGACGGTGCTAATTATTCAAATTACTTGGCGCGCAGTATTCAGCATTGCATTAAGGCAATTATGTGAGCTGTACCCATGTGTGTGCTTGAGTGTGTTTAATATTTACGAGGTACATATAATCAAGCGGCTTGTATAATGCCGTTGCCATTTCACTTAGCCACAAACGAGCCGTGGCCATTGCCGTTAACAAAATTGCGTTTTACATCATTAATTTTTACGAGCTAAAATAGGCCCAAAATGCCTGATAAGCTGTAAGAGCCAACAGCAAAGAGGACTTGAACTCAATGGGCAATGGGTAAATGGGCAAAAGGGGGGCGTGGCGTATCTTAAGTCTTGCGTCTGGTTTCTGGCGTTGTCGGCCCGCTAAGCGCGCAATTAGCGCGTCTTAAATGCGCCCACAGTCGACACAATGTTGTTGCCAGTTGCCACGGTGCCAGTTTTCAAAAAGGTATAAAAAAAGGTTCTACGACTGCTTTATTATAATGGTAATTGCATATGATATATATATTATGGGGTAAAACTGCTTTATACAGAAACATTTTGTTATTATTCTAATGCTAGTAATAAAATATAAAACAATTTGAGACACGCAACTGTGTTGAACGCATCAATGCCTCATTAAATTAGAGACACACAAGCGCGTGACATGTTTATATGTCACACATACATATGTAGATATATAATATATATACATTCGTGTTTATGGAAGTTACTGGGGTAACTAATTCTGTGAGTCCAAGTTGGAATTACTCGTTAATTGCCATTGGCAGGGGAAGGCTAGTTCTTTCACGGCCGGCGCCATAAATCAAAATGATAATTAACAGATGCTTGCTTTTATGCTAAGTAAAAGTTGTGCATAAACATTTACCACTCACTATATCATATATCAATTATATATACATTTATGGATTATATCTCTTTATGATTTAAAAGAAATTTAAAACCAAATCATTTCATGGTTGAATAATTGACAAAACCATATAAAAATTATTTTAAAAATATCAAATCTTATTAAATGTCATTTTGCCATTATTAGTAACTGGAATAATTTAGCTCATGTTAAATTTGTTTTTAAATATGAGTAAACTTTGCACCGACTTTTTTAAGCTTTTGCAGAATATTTCATTATTTTCATGTCCGCCATTTTGAGATTATGACTATCATTATTAGTTAACGCTACAGAGGGCTGGCTATACCCTCCGTAGACACAAAAAGAATGAATCCACCCCCACAGTTTACCAACCCCCAGACCAAGAACGTTGCCGCCTGCTCTTTTTCATTTAATGTGCTTATGCATAATGGATAAACCTTTTACCCCCAGTTCTGCAGAGAACGCTTTATTTTTGGCTTTTTCCTTTTCCTTTTTTTTTTTGTTTTGTTTTTGTTCTTTTAGACAAAGGCCATTTGTACATTTTGTAGTTTAAAGTGTCGGGTAAATGGGGAGTTGGAGTTGGAGCGAAAAAAGGTGCTAGCTGTCAGCACTTTTGAGAAGCTTATTGATTTTTTTTTGTTTTTTTTTTTTTGTTTTTTATCGTGAAACTTACCTCCATTTGGTGCGACGATTTTGGAACCACGTCTTCACCTGTGCATCGGTCATTTTGAGTCCTCGCGCCAGAGCCGCACGTTCCGCAGATGCCAGATATTTTTGCTTGTGGAAACGCTTCTCCAGCTCGGCCACTTGGATGCGTGTGAAGGATGTGCGCGGCTTTTTTCGCTTGGGCGGCGTGCGATTCTGATAGGGATGTCCAATGCGACGGGCAATCGGAAAGGCAGCTGTAATGTTAGTTGAAGAAGGAGAAGAAATTTAAGTACTCGTACATATATATATATACATATATAGTTAGCTAAGTGTCCTATCCAAGCAATTAGCAAACAATAAATTCCATGGCCAGATAACAAGCAATTTCCGATATTTGCTTCCGGTACGGCAAACGGCACCTGTGTGCGGCTACTTAGCGACCTTAGCGCCGCCTTGCTACCTGCCCCGCTGTTAAATCAATTTAGTCGAGCCCAGCCCTTAAAGAGTCAGTGACTCCGGCCGCTAAGCGCCTAATTGCCGCAGTCTGAGGCCCGATCTTTAACCTTTATCATAGAGACACAGACGCATCGTCTTGTAGACAACGCACGCGACATCAATTTCATTCAAAGCCGCCGTTCAGTCGTCTTTCAGCCGTTTGTTCAGGTTGAGTCATAAAGTCGCGGGTTCCTAGGATGCGTATGTGACCCAGTCTCTGTTCTCCTTAACTGCACCTCACTCTGCCTCTCCCTCTGCCTCTCCCTCTGCCTCTCCCTCTGCCTCTCCCTCTGCCTCTCCCTCTCTCTGTATTCTGAGTGGGCAACGGTCCATGTTTCTGCTGGCGCTGAACCTTTTAAAATTCCAGCCAGTCGACTTACTTTTGCCTTTTTGGCATGCGTGTTGTTGTTTATTATATGCGATAAGCCTGGCGCAGTGGTCACCAAACAAAAATATTAAAACGATGTCGTTGATCGTCGTCCTCAGTGACAACTGGGAAACCGGCTTGACCATCGTCACCGGGGTCATGTGATAAGTCTGGCTCTAGCTGTGAATATCGTGGCGAATTTCTATAGCCAAACAGCTAGGTAAACAAATACAAATACATTTGCCATTTAAGGATAACCAAGAGCTTTAGAGTGCTAACATTTTGTGAATTTTCTGATTGGTCTCCGTTTAAATTCATTACTGAATGTGACACAGTTTTAAAAGACATCGGAAAGGCATATAGGGAAAAAAAACACATAACTTTTTGAGAATTTCACAGTAGACATCTAACATTTCGAGAATGTTGATTATCTGCTTAAATTCCTTACGCTGAAAATGACATAGAGGATTGACTCGATCTGAGAGTAGAAAACAAAAATAAATTTTTATTTTTTTTTATACAGAATTCATATTATCTGTTTAATAATACAACCGATTAATGTTCTTCAGCTGATATATAAATATAAATGTTTACGTATTTTAAGATCGAAAAAAATATTTTTGAAAAATGTGAGCTGCATGTTTATTTTAATATTTGTTGCACATTTTTGCAATATTTAATTTGAGTACAAAACTCTTCGGTTTTGTTTGTGTTGTTGAATTTTCTAATGTCGATGAATTTTCTAAATCGAAATTGTAAATATTTTTCCAAAATCAATCTAATAATAAATAGCAGTAACTGCAAAGGCAATATAATTATTATGTTTATGATGTAAGGCCAACAGTTTATTTGACAGGTATATTTGCGTTTTATATCTAGTTACTTGTAAATTTTTCATTCCCTCCATAAAAACCACTTCAGAATGGGTGAAATTTTCATCAATCGACAGAAACCTCAATGGCAGAATGTATGGCTGGTGTTAAACTGACAAATCATGTTTTTTATTGCGACTTTTCCCAGGAACCCTTTTTGAATGTGTGCCCAAATAAATATTCGACTCAAGTGTGTAAATTTCGTGAACGCAATTCCCGTGTGGGGATTGGCCACCATTTGAATATTTCAAGCAATATCAATTTCAATAAAAAGCCATTTATCGCACCACATAAGCAGGCGCTCGATTTGCGCAGTGCAGTACTTATATCCTTAAAGGATTCGTGGTGGGATCCATTCGCGTAAGCATAATTTTATGGCTTACCAGCGCTTCACCGCTCCCCACTGCTGCCACCCCAACCCCTCCCTCTTTTGCTGCTTGCCTACTTGTGTGTGTGTGTGTGTGTGTGTGTTGTTCTTATTTATGATGTTTTGGTTCTGTTCTTGGCGTATCTTAAAGATACTCACAACCTGTCTGTGGGCTGCGGCTTCTGCTGCTGTTGCTGCTGTTACTGTTGCTGCCTGCAAACTGCCTTCCCAAAATACGTAAAATAATGCTAAAAGCTTTTAGCATGCATTATTGATGGCGCCTGTGGCCGAAACCGAGCACAAGTCTGACTCTGAGACTCTGACTGCGACTGGGACTTCAACTTCAACTGTGCCTGAGCCTGAGCCAGTGTTTTGTTTCTGCCCCGACGACCCACATGGCGTATGCGCAATATGCCTTAAATATCTACACTCAAGTGTCTGCACTTTGACCCTTTGAAAAAGTTGGTTGTGGTTGGTTGCAATTACTTGCAGTTTTTGGCTATTTGGCAAATTGCATAAAGGGTTGCGTTTGACCCGGACCAACAACAAAATATAAAAATAATTGGCGCCTGCTGCGCCGCCTGTCAGCAAGCTCAACAGCATTCCAATTAACATGCAACGGTTATTAATCATATGGCAGTGCGAGGGGGAAGCGGGCAGCCGGCAGCGGGGATCGGATCACGGCAAGGGTCAGTTTGTGTTACGGTTGCAGAGTCGCTCGTTTGTCTTGTTAATGAAAAAAGCCAAGGCGCCAGCTTATCAGCAAGCCAAGCGACACAATGCACACACTCAAAACAGACACACACACACAGTCACAAACACACACAGATGCACACACTCATATTGCAACTCAGACGCTGACGAAGATGTTGACAAAACGAAACTGGTCAGAAGATGGCTCGGCTTGCTTTGCATGACTGCCTCAAAAGTGTGGCTGAGTTCTACTAGGGTTTCTGCTCGCTATCTCTCTCTCACTCACTCATTCATTCGGTGTCTCTCTCTCTCTCTCTCTTTCTCCGTCTCAGTGGCTAATTAAAAGCTGCCCATGTCAGTTGAGGCCCCCTCACATTGAAGTGTGGTATGCAGCGATAAATAAGCAGAGAGTCGAGACTTAGCGTTGAGCTCGACGACCGCCCAATGTGTAATTAATTCCTTTTCGGGGGCACAGCGCGAAATTAAAAAGTCATGTAAACCAGCTCATTAAAATAACTAAAAAGGCTCTTGTGGCGGCAGCGGCGGCGGCGGATGTTGGCCATAAAAGCAATCGCAACGATCGCCACGATGCTAAGCAGCTTTTCTGCATGGCCAAAATGCGTCCCAAATATGAGTTACAGCCACATCGATTGGCATTCGGATGCCCCAACTCCTGACAGAGTAGGGACAGCTGATAAAAATAATATAATAAAATAAAATGCTGCACTACCCCCTCCCCCCTACCAACCTGATGGTGGCTGCTGAGGCGTAATAAAATCAACGCGCACTCATTAAATAATGCGGCTCGCGCTGCGACTGCAGCTTGTAGCTACAACTGAAGCTCATAATGTAAACAAATTAACGAAAAGCCGCAGCCAGCAGGCAGGATCTGCAGCCGGCCATATGCAAATGTGGCAAATGTGTGTGTCTCTCTCTCTCTCTCTCTCTCCCGCTCTCTCTCTCTCTCGCTCTTTGTATGCACTGAGCCTGAGCTTTGCTTCTGGGCGGTGGCGCAGCGTTGAGTTTTTGTTTCTTGTTGTTGTTTTTTTCTTTTCTTTAACTTAAGCTGCGATTGCGCATTTGAAGGCAAACATGTTTTTATACTTTAGGGCGCACAGCTACAACTGTGGATATTCTGAGTGTGTGTGTGTAACACACGTGTGTGCGTTAGTGTGCGTGTGAGGTCTGGGTGCGCGAATGACATGCCGACAGGCATGTTGGCTTAAAAGACTTCTCTGATCGCGCTTATTAGCCTGGGCTACTACCATGGGCGTGGCCAGGATACCAGTTGGGGGGGTCGGTCTTAGACATATACATAACAAGTTGTCTTTTTTATGCGACTTGCTTTTAAAATAGCTAACTAATGTGCAACAATCAAATACTTTTGAATTCTACTTTCCATTTTATAAGAAAAAGAGCAGGTGCTTTAAATTTTAGAACTCATTTTTTAAATAAGTTTTAAAAGTGTTTTCCAGCTTAAGGGTTTTTCCTATGGTTTCTATAACTATAACAATTTTTGTAATATATTTTAAATGCGTAAACGAACGGATCCGTTCGAATAATGCCATATAATACAAAATCAAAGTGTTGTATATATTCGCTAATCAATGACTTGTGGTTTTCCCCTGCTGGCTACGCCCATGACCGAAAATGAGACACAGGCCAAGCGCAGCTTGGATTTTAATAAGACGCACTCCCGTACTCACATTCATGTGCGTGCCACATGGTAATCACGAGTGTGGGGCCGACTACTGCAATCCAGCAGCAAATCCGAAACAGTAGCCGCTTGTTTCGGCTACCGTTGGCGGATGGCTTCGAGCAGATCATAAATGTGTTGGGGCACAGCATGAATCAAAGTAAATGTTTGGCATGATGATGAAATCTGCACTCAACACTCACCTGCAAGTCGATCCTTGACCGCCTGATGGGCAAGCGCCGCATGATGCAACGGTGGCAGCGCCCAGGTCAGCGGCGTACGCTGCGGTGGCACTCGCAGCACATGGCCAGCAGCGGCCGCTGCTGCCGACGGATAGAGATGCGGATATGAGTACAAGGCAGCGGCACTGCCATATGTCGAGTTGGCAATGCTGGTGGCCAGCTTATAGGCGGCCAGTTCGTGATCCGCTTCAGCTTGCAGCTCCTTCTCCGCCGAGTTTCTATCGGAGCTGCTGTTATTGTTGTTGTTGTGGTTGTTGTTGGGGCTGCTGTTGTTGTGCTGTGTGCTGTGGCCGTTGTTGTTGTTATTGTTGTTGTTATTGGTCTCGAAGGGTTTCGAAAGCAGCCTCGATATGCTGAAGGGCAGATTCTCGCTGGACGAGGAGCGCGTCTGTTCCGATTGCAGCGATTCACTGGACAACAACAAACAAAAAAAAAAAAACCAAAAAAACACGAGAAAGACACGAGATATTAAACATGTTGCTGTTGTTGACTCATTAATACAGAAAAAAAGTGTCGCACGATAAGCAGACAGAACAAATTATTAATTAATGTTGCCAACTAAGTTTCGAGACCAGTGTTGCCCACACATATCCCCTGCATATATAGTTTTTTTGCTCTTGTTGTGGCCATTTGCTAGCAGAGATAAGGCTCAAAGTATTTGGCCCGAAACACGCAGAAATCATGTTTTCGTTGCCGTCGCAATATGCGGCGTATGCGTAACATTTTTGCTGTCACTCTGTGGCAAATTAAGTAATTATGCAAATGCGAAACGAGGCATTTGATTTGAATTCTATAAATCACCGAGCAGCACATTCGAGTCACGATCGTCATTTCGTTTTATAAGCAGCAATAATTAAAGTCATTTCAAATCGTCTAATGTACACTTTCCAAAAATAAAATAAAATACTATAACTAAAAGTCGAAGTAAACTTGTTATAATAAACATATGGTATTCAGCCTATGATATGTCTTTCGGTCTTCGCTGTTTGCCTCCGGGCGCATTCCTTTTTTTTTTATAGGATTTTTATAGCGCCCCCTCTATTAAAATGTTAATCCAATATGCATGGGGCCCACAAACTGTGGCTTTGTTGCGGAACTCGTTTAGACCCATTTGGGTATTGTTATCAACGCGCGCTTTTGGCGCCTTGCTAATGTGCGTTTTATCGCCGTAGACTGTCCCCAGTCCCCAGCTCAATTCCCCAGCCCAATTCCCCAAGCCCCATTCTCCTATCCCCTATCCCAGACTACCTGTACCCTATTCTCCCAGCTGTCATATGGTAACTTGTCATTAAATTCAGGAAGTTTCTTTTTGGCTGCTGCGGCAATTTATTAGTGTTTAAGAGGTTTCTTCACACCACAAACCAAATTGGATCGAGTATAGTGAATGAATAGCAGTTGTGTGATTATGTTCTGCCTATTGAGTTGCTTGTTAGCTATTCAAATGGTCTTTGTGTGTTATGCCACACAATGCTGAAGACATTTGAATACACGCCTTTTGTACTCATCAATGATCGTTAAATTATGAATAGAGAATCAAAATTGCTCCAAATCTATGAAACAAACAAAGCTTTATAAAAACAAGTTGACGTTTTCTTAGTAAGTATAAAATATTGATTTTGATATTTTATTTTAAACCTTTATCGCAAAAAAAAAAAAAATTTTAATCTGTGGTTGTTACTCGAGATTTTAAATGAAATAAATTTAAATATTCTTGCTTTGTATAGGCTCGGACATGCCACTTTTTGGAGACATACGATTTGCTGTGGTATTCTTTTTCTTTACAAATTTAGCTGTAGTCAGTTTGAGCCCTAATTAACCTTATCAGTAATGTCTAGACACTTTATTCGTCTCTATCTTCAGCCAAGGCTCCGCAATAATCTTTCTTTAATTATACTCAGAGAAAATACGTACAACTCTGTGCTTCCTAACAATATAATGATCCACACGGATCAGAGTTTTGGCCATGTTAACCTGGCTGTTTCATGTCGGTTAATCTTTCTCATATTTGTATATTGTATTTCTCAGTTCAACGTAAGCATTTTGAATCTATTTTCAACATTTGTCTTTTATGTGATATGTGTTACCTTAGCGGAGTCTCTGATTCATCGTAGCAACTGCCACCGTCCATATCCACATCTGAGCCACTGCCGCAGGACATTCGCGAATCGGAATCGACATCGACATGTATCTCCTGCTCCTCGACATCGTCGCCATTCTCGTGATCGTGTTCGTGTTCATCCTCCTCGTGGCTGGACATGTTGACAGCTAGTGGCGCCAATTCGAACAGTTTTCGAACAAAATAACAGCACTATTCACGATTCACACTCTCGTCACTTGGTCTTGTTTCTAACAATATATGCCCTAGATGTAATTGCCTTGCAACACACGCACCACACTTGACGGCAATTCGTTTCGGGTTGCAGTTGTAGTTTTAATTATGAACTTGGCTCTTTGATTGAGTTGCGCGACGCGACGACAACAATTCGTTAACCGACTCGACAATTTGAACGGACGCCGTTTGACTGAGATGCGATCTGCAGAATGCTGTGCTTGGGAGCGGGCGCGTGCTGGCGGGCGTAAACGCTTTTCATCAATGCAACCAAAATAAAAATATGCCGACGGACTCTTGCGACTCTCTGTCGCAGCAACTCTCTCTCTGCTGCTGCTGCCGCCGTTGTTGCTGCTGCCGCTGTTGCTGCTGCCGCTGTTGCTGTTGCTGTCGCTGCGAAGCTTGTTAGTCAAATAATGTTGAGCCCAAAGGCAGGAGCCACCCCGCTGGCACCAAGAAAAAAATAAATATATATATACATATATGAAACAAGTAAAACCAGTTCCGCTGACGCCGGCAGCGATGCTTCAGCCACCGCTGCTGCCGCTGTTGCTGTTGCTGCTGCTGCTGCTTCCTTCCTATTTGGTTAACGTTAACGAGCCTGTTTGCCACCTTGTTTGAACCTAACCTACCATAATAAACGTTAGCCAGCCCTCTGCTTCCGCCCCCGCTACCCGCTGCTGCTTATGCTTCTGCTTCAGCTTCTGCTTCTGCTTCTGCTGAGCTGCACTTGGTGGTTGCTCTTGGTTGGTTGGCCCGCCCCAGACGCCACTCCATCTCGCTCACACAACACACAAGCGCTCGCTCTCCCTCTCCCTCTCGCTCGCACTGACACATGGCACATGCGCTGGGTCGGCTCTCTTTTTTTCGCTCAGCTCAGCGTAGAAACAGGTTTTGTTCTGCACGCTGCTTGGCAGCACTGGCCAACAACTGGCCAACAATTGACGCAGTGGGCGTAACGCTGCCCGTCTCCCATTGGCTGCTGCTGCTGGCCAAGACCTGGAGCGCAGTCGGGGGCGAATGGAGCTAGGGGAGAGGGGGGGAGAACAGTGGAAGCTTTGCATTTGCGACGACATTTTAAATGGAAAACGTTTTGCTTTTGGGGTTTTTATTACGAATAGACAAGAGCATGAAGAGAATGTATTTTCATTTTGATTGTTTCTATTTTCGGTTTAGCCAAGCGTGGCCGCTTGCAACGCCCCTCATCTCTCATTCCCGCCGGACCGAGACAAAGCTCAACTTGGTGTGTGTGTGTGTGTCTATGTGAGTGAGCAGGCCAGCGAATGGCCTGGAGAAGTGCAAATGTGGCAGATTAATAGCACAATTGGAAATAGCAGCGTTTTGTCAGTTTGAGTTCACAAAGCGACGGGGCGGTATCGGGGCGGGCAGTTGGCGGGAGAACATGTCTTTGCCTGTGGTCCACTTTCCTGCGGTTTTTCCTAATGTCCGTCCATTGACAGTTGAGTTCGCTTTGAGTTCTCTATTAGCGCCAGCGCAGAAATGTTCGTTCTACTATCTCTCGCCTGGCATTCTGGCAGTCAGCGATAAGATATAACCTCCTGCTCTACCCCCTCCTGCCACCATAGCTAATGCCTTGGCTCTGGTGTCTATGCAAAAATGGAAATTATTTTGTATGCGCGTCTTTTCCTGCGTTTGTGCCTGGCGTCTTTCTTCTTTTTTTCTTCTTCTGGGTTCACTTAAAGGTTAATTGACAGTTTTATTGGCGAGTCTTGGCCTTGAGCACGGGTCCAGCTCAGGTGGCATCCTGAGCAGGAATGCTGCCACTTGATTGTGGCATGCCATGCTGGCAATGGAAAGCTAAGAAGCTGCTTCTGATATGTTGGCATGTGCCATGTACACGCATCGCAAGAGAACTGAATTAGAAATGAAGACTGCAACAGATAGAGAAAGAGAGAGAGAGACAGAGATGTAGCGGGGATACAGTGTCTTTTGCTCTAGGTACCATTTGATTATTTCTAGCTTTTCCTCGTGTTCGGCAAACCAAAAAATTAATCACAAAAATTCAATTTTGCACTTAGGCAACACTTTTTTGGTACCAGCCATGCAAAATCATGGCCAACAATGAAACGCGCAATTACTGCATATTCAATTGAGCGCGTGAGCCAACACAACGGAACTCACGCTACACTGAGCAACAAATATTATGACTAGAAGCGAGCTGGAAGAATGAAAAAAAAAAACACTTTCCAACTCTTTATTTATACAAAGTATTTAATGTTTACTAAAAAAAAAAAATTAAAATTAATTTTAAAAATAAAGTTTAAGTCACGAACTAAATTATATAAAATTAAAAATAAATTAAAATAAAAATGTATTATAAAGAATGTAATAAAAATGTAAGACACTTGACCTGTAGAAAGCAAAAAAAAACATATTTAAATTATAAAAAGAGTTCATTAAACAGCAAACAACAATCTGAGAGTATGAAAATGTTAAATGGTCAGAAATATATTGCAAGGATTGGGAAAACCCGGAAGCCCAAATAGACCAACAATTGCTAAGTGTTAATATTTTATTAATAGGAAAAAAATGCTTGAAAACAGAACTAAATTAAGGAAATCAGAATTTTAAGTTAAAGTTGTACAAGTTGAGAACAAAGAATCTAATTTTTGAAACTATTTCAAGAATCTTTTGTAACGAAAATAATTTGCTGACTTTCGTAAGATATTTGATGATTGTGTGTGTGTTTTTCTCTCAGTGTCTGCAATGCCATACAATGTTATAGACCCACACAATTACAAACTCAGATTCAGACACAAAAGGACTTTGCCAGTCACGACGCATCGCCATCGACGTTGTTCGTAGGCCTTGTAACCAACTAATTGGATTTCATTTGAACAGCAACAGAAACGAGCAACAATTGCCATAATAAAACAGCAACAGCAGCAGCAATAATAACAACACCAACAACAACAACAACAATAAAGAAGGTCTCGACTTCGCCAATTGCAATGCAATTTTAATGCAAAATAAGAGGCGGGCCGCATTTTTATTGCATTTTTACTTTTATTTCAGTTAATAGCAGGCGAAAATAACAGCAACAATAGCAGCAACGAGAAATTGGTGCTTGGTATGAATACAAAATGAGGCCAAGATGCCACTACAATGCATGGCAATCGGAGTGGGGCGGGCGGACAGGGGCATGGCAAAATTAGTATGCAGCAGCTTACTGCAGTCAACGGCAGCAGCAGCAGCGGCAGCAACAGTGGCAGCAACAACAAAATAAGCTTACGGGTTGCCCCAGCTCCGGTTTCCATTTGCAGGACTTGCCACTTGACTTTATTGGCAACTTCATGGAATATTCAGCAGCAAAGTTCTGCGCAAGTGCCTCCAAATGGCTTATTTTCGCTCTCTCTCTCTCGCTCTCTCTCTTTCTCTTTCTCTCCATCTCTCTCTCTCTCTCTCTCTGTCTCTCTCTCTGTCTCTATGTTTGTCTTCTCGCTGCTCGTTGCAGTGTTCGCCAGCTTCATTTGGTATGCATTTTTATTTGGCTCATATACAAATGGTGGGTTGTGGGTGGTGGGTGGTGGCACAGCGCAAATGTCACTTCAATTGCCAATACTGATTATGGCTGTCTCTGTCCGTCGTTGCGCGAATTTTATGTGTGGCCAGTGGTGCGCTATTATTGGTGACAGTTTTACCTTTATGGCGAATCTCTTTCAAATGCCCACGTAATCGCCTGAGACGGAGACAGAGACAGAGACAGTGTCAGTGACAGCGACAGAGATAGAGACACTATGTGTATGTGTGTGTATTTTTCTTGTATTTACTTGCCCTGTTGCCATTTGTGTGATTTCCCTTAACACGTGAAGCACTTTCTTTTGGTTGCCTTGGCCAATGCCCCAGGCTATCGTGATTGCTTTCCAAAATTCTTTTCGCATGTCCACACTCGACATCGATTTCGATGGGGCCAAGAAACCAGGGTCTATGCGTGATTTTGTTAGTGAATTGACCACACAATTTGCTAAGCGATAAATTAACACATTAATTATTTAATCGCCATGCGAGTGAGTCTATTTGTGTGTGTGGGCGTCAGCAAACCTTGGGGAGAACTGCTTGAAAGGTCGACTTGTTGAGCATCGATAGCATCGCAGCGCACTGATTTGCACGGGGGGGTAAGGGGAATGTAGTCAACAGCTGAGATTATTGATTTTGAGTGTTGAAATTAACAAAGAATTTCAATTGGAAAGCAATTTCTCAGTATTTTTGGCAACGACAATAAGCAACTTGAGTGGAGCCCATTACTTATAAATTTTTAACAATTTTACAGATTTCTTAGTAATTATGATTAATTTTTGCTAAAAATGGGTATACATACAAAAAAATGTTATGGGCAGAAGCAAGCCTGTTCGACCCCATATATATATATGTATATATAGGTCACAAACGGATAACGCTAAAAGAGCTGGAGACAATTCTGAATATATGTGAGTTCTCTTATACTGCGAAAACTGCCTCCGTTTAGCGATTATCAATACAAATCGATTCCTCATCGAGATCGGATAACCAAAGCTGCTTGCAGGGAATATAACTAAAGTAATATATTTAAAAGCAGGGTACAGGGTATCTCGTAATCGCCCTACTTAACTTTATCATTCTTACTTGCTTGTATTTGTATTATTTTAGTATTTTGAAATGAGAGACTGCCTTCTGAATGGTAATTTCATTTAAGGATATTCAATTGCTGTACAGACTTTGCTTTATTAACTCTAAATATATAGACTAGGATATTTGACACATATATCTTTAATTTCAGTTGAATCACATTTGTGTGCATATTTAAGGCAGTCTGATATAAAAGAGGTCGCCAAGCAAGTGGGAATTAAACTTTTATTTTTGCTAAGCCTAATAATCGCTGCATAAAAGAGCGTTCTTAATTAATTTCGCACCCACTCTGCGCAGGTACCACTGATTTTTATGCAACCACACTCACACACACACACACACACACACACCCAC